GAAGATAACAAAATACAAAGACCTACAAATAGAAATAGAAAGACTGTGGCAAAAGCAAGCAAGGGTAGTACCAATAGTCATAGGCTTCTTGGGTGCAATCCCAAAACAACTGGAGCACCACTTGAACACAATTGGCATTGACAAATTCACTATTAGTCAATTGCAAAAGGCGGCCTTATTAGGAACTGCTTCCATCCTGCGACGATATCTGTAATACCATCAAACATCCACATCTGCTTATCCCAGGTCCTGGGTAAGGACTCGATAGGTAGACAAAATGCCAAATCCAGTCTGAACATCTGGCTGACTGTGCAATGATCGATAATAATAGTAAAGTTGGAAGGGACCTTGTAGGTCATCTAGTCCAACCCCCTGCTCAGGCAGGAAACCCTACACCATTTTGGACAAATGGCTGTCCATTTGTTTATTTTGCATCCGTTCCTCTTCTTCCTCACTGGGTATTTTCATTCAAATATCCAAATAAGGCCACTTTATATCACCAGCCTGGGCTGTAGGAGAGATGCTGCCAATATCCTAAGGGTTTTGATGGGGCAAAACAGACTGAAGTTGAACTCAGGAGTTAGTACTGTTGGTCAGAATGTTCTATTAATATCAGGGTTATTATCTCTGGGCAAGTATTATTCCAGAAATAGCAGATTTGAGATTTGGGCACCCTCCTGGACTTATAGCTCCTGCTTGAACAACAGATGGAAGTCAAGAGGGCTTTTGCCAACTGTGACCTTATCTGGTACAGAGAAATCAGCTAAAGCAACTCAGGGAGATATAGATACAGGGAGATCTAGTATAGCCCTACATTGTGAATGGTATATGTGTATCTATCTCTCTATCTCTATCTCACTTTACAGAGGACTGTTTTCTCTTCAAGAGTTGTGTACTGTAATCCATTACAGGTAGACTTCGACTTACGGCCACAATAGAGTCCAAAATTTCTGTTGCTAAATGAGACAGTGATTAAGTGAGTTTTGCCCCATTCTACAACCTTTCTTGCCACAATTGTTAAGTGAATCACTGCAATTGTTAAGTTATTAACAAGTGAATCTGCCTTCCTCATTGACTTTGCTTGTCAGAAGATCACAGAAGTGATCACATGATCCCGGGATGCTGCAACCATTATACATATGAAACAGTTGCCCAGCGGTCACATTTTGATCACATGACCATGGGGATGCTGCAATGGTTGCAAGTGTGAAAAACTTACAGAAAGTTTATGTCATTTTTTTCAGTGGGGCCGTAACTTTGAAGAGTCGCTAAATGAACTGTTGTTAAGTCGAGGACTACCTGTATTTCAATCTATATCTATTTATTAAATTTCTAGGCTGCCCTTCTCACTGATACAGCAACTCTGGGCGGCTATCCCACCACTGTTCCAGAAGCCAAAGGCGGCTTTAAGATGCATTCTATTTAAACTGTCCGCATTTATAAAACTTTTTGCATATCGTTAAACTACTGCATATTTGCACTGTCTTCACCACAGTTGAGAAAACCAACCAACCAACCCATCCTTGTTGCGTGATATCTTAAGGAAAGTAAGTTCCCATTTTCAGCTGTGGCTACAACAGGGTTAGAAAATATATTAATAAAAATATTTAGGAAACCAATATTATTAAATAATAAATAAAATATACCATTAAAATATATTACAATGAACACATAACATTACTGAGTAAATGACATGCGTTTATGATTCCTAATGAAGTACTTTCATTTAAAAAGTTATATGTGCTACTATCTCTTGCAAATCTCTTTGGAATCACTGAAATGGCAAAACAGAAACTTCGATGGGGGAGGGGGGGAGCTCTGCTGCAAACATGAATGTTTGAAAACATTCTAGGGCCTAATAAGAAAATCTTTATTAGAGAATTACTGCCATTCATCTACAAAACCTGCACATTTAAATCAGAACATAGCTTCAAAAATATATTTAAATAAATCTTTAATTATAGATTTACTGCCAGGAGTGCTCCAACTTTAAAAAATGGCTGCCATTTAGAATTCTTTTGCTAACACCAATGATCAAAAGGATTAGACAACATTAACACTCCACGCTACATGCCAACAGAAATTCAGGGAGAAGTGGCAGATGTTAATTTACACAATGCCAACACCCAGCAGTATACAAAGCCTGGCTGGATAATGTGCGTCTGATCAATCTTTCCTTGAGAGAAAAGGACGTTATGCAGATGATTGAGTACATACTGTCTCTCTGCCAGTGTAATATTAATGCATGCAAGAACAGATAATATCTGAGTTAATTTAATTACTCTCACAAAATAAGCACTGAAATACATTACTCTCGAAAAGATCACCTAATGGTTGAATCATCTCCTCCAATAAGGCTTTATAATAAACAGCTGTTAACCCATCCGTACCCGGTGCTTTCCCTGGTTTCAATTGTTGAATTGCTAGCGAAATTTCCTCCTTAGTAATTAAACCATTAACTTCATGTTTCTGATCCTCTGTCAATTTAGGGAAACTAACCTCGCTTAGATATTTATTTATCTCTAAAATTTGAACATTAGTAGATTTATATAATTTTTGATAATAATCCAAAAAAGATTTCTTAATCAGTTCCTTCTGAGAAACTAATTTACCCTTGTAATTTATTTTATCTATTGTTCTCTGTCTCTGTTTCTTTCTCAATTGATAAGCCAGCCATCTCCCTGGCTTGTTAGCATTACAGAATGTATTTTGTTTCATAAACAATAAATTGGTTGCAGCTTGATCTGCTAACAACATATTAAATTGTGTTCTTAACAACTTTAAGGATTCTTTAATACTTTCATCAGAAGGATTTAAATTCAAAGACTTTTCTTTTAATTTAATTTCATCTTCCAATTCTTTACGTTTCTGAATCTGTTTTTGCTTATGACAGTTATTCATTTTTATCAAAATCCCACGCATAAATGCTTTCCCTGAATCCCATACCATTGACATTGAAGTCCCCTTATACATATTCAAAGCAAAATAATCCTTTAAACACTCCTTTAGTTTCTGAACATTTTTTTCTTGTCTAAATAAATTCTCATTCACCCTCCAGGATCTTCTCTCCTCTTTTTCTTGAGTCAACTCCATCCAGACTGGACTATGATCCGTCAAAAACCTAGGGAAAATCTTGACATTCTTTACTCTATTATATAAGTCCGTTGTAATCAAGAAGAAGTCAATTCTTGAGAAGGATTGGTGTCTATCTGAAAAGAAGGTAAAGTCTTTCTCCTCTTGATTACATTCCCGCCAATAGTCCCGTAATTCCCAGTCCTCTTTCATATCAAAAAAGGCTTTAGGTAATTTTGCCTGCTTAAGAAGAGGAGAGGAACCTTTTTTGTCCCTTTGTACATCTAAGACACCATTCCAATCCCCCATTAGTCCCACGGATCTGTAGTCCAGCAGATTTATTTTTTCATGTAAGAGTCTATAAAATTGTTCCTGTTGCTGATTTGGTGCATATAGTCCCACTATAAGTACTTTCTTACCATATAAGCCCAATTCAACCATCACATATCTCCCTTGGGGGTCAGACTTCACCAGACAAACTGGTAGATTTTGCTTAACATAGATAACAACTCCCCCCTTCTTCCCGGGAGCAGAAGATACGAAGTGAGATCCCAGACGGGCATTAACTAAATATTTCTGATCCTTAAGTAAAATATGAGTTTCCTGTAAGCAAATAACATCATTATTACGTTGCTTCAAATAATAAAAGATTTTTTTCCTTTTCTGAGGAGAATTCAATCCATTAACATTCCAGGTCAAAAACTTTGCCATCTCCCTTGGCCCGCAGCCTGGAGAAGACACCTTGGAGATCTGAAATTGCAACATGTGTTGCATGACTCTTGGGTCTTGCTCCTCCCACCGGCGGTGATACATTTCCAGGAGAAATCTCTTTGGCCTCTTTCTTACGTTGCTCCTTCTCTTTACGTTTATAAGCTGCACGAGTCATTCTCTGCTCTTTAACCTCCCTTGTATGGAGTATCCCAGTAACTCCTCCAGGTAGTATAGTCTGACATTATACACTAGTCAATTTAAAAAAAATCCTCTAAAAATACTACAGGCATCTTGGGCCATAAATACATGCTTTAATGCAGCAGTCCGTAATCATTTGAGCACCAGAGACCAGTTCTGTGGAAATTTTTTTCCCCCATGGACCTGGAGGGGTTATGGTGCTACCTAGATCCCACACAAGGGCAGATGAAGCTCCACTCATTTCTTCAGCCCAGTTCCCAATAGGCCACAGACCAATATTGAGCCACAGACCGGGGTTTCGGGACCCCTGCTTTAATGAAAAGAAGCACTGTTGATTTTTTCAGAGCTAAATTGTCAAATTTATATCCAGTGGCTTGGCTTACATCTTCCAAAATATTCTCAGACCAGATTCACACTTGGGAGGTAAGTACAGCCCAGCAGGTGAGGCTATTTTATTAGGAGGAAAACACTACTTGAAGCCAATTTTTATGTTACAATGAGCCCAATTAAAATTCTCTATATTGAGGTTGCAGCTAAATTCTTACTTCCCTAAGAGATAATTTTCACCTTGAGGAAAGGCATAGAATACAGCTATAAATGATACCATTCTAGAGCACTGAACCTATGCTGTCACTTTGAATTTAACCATAAGTTTGCTTTTGTGACTGCATTTAAATTTCTTTATGTATTTATTGGACTGATATAGCTACCCATTTCACAAAGCAACTTTGGACAGCTTAAACAATACAAAAATCAAAAACAAATAATAACTATACAATCACATAAAAAAGAAAAGAAAAAAGAAAAGAAAAATCCATTGATAGCTGATTTTATAATGAGATTTTGAAGACATTTAATGAGAGTGCAACTCATCTTTTAATGGCCATGAAGAATTGCCATGTTTGACATTGAAGGCGTAATGATTCCGTGTGTTCTCTTATGAATTGCATGTTTCCATATTGCCAACACAAAGAATCAATTGATCCATGTTATTTTTTATATCTAAAAGGTATACCTACCAGCTCCAAATGCAAAGAAGAAGCTTTTATCTGGATACTCTTCCAGTAAATCTTTCACTCGCTTGCTCATCCTCTCATTCCGCTTGTAGATAAGCTCATGGCGGAAGTAGTCATCAATCTCTTGAGCCATGATACGCTCATGAGGTAGCAGAGATGCATTGATGAAATTTGGGACCTATGCAAAAGAAAGATCATCATATAACATACGAGATCAAATCTCCACCACTTCCCTACAGAATCCAATATGTCCCACAGATTTGTTCCAGAAAGATGGGACACTTGGGGGTTTGGGTGGAGAAAATGCAAAGAAGAGATGGAAAAGGGAAATCATGTATATAACACCACAGTAAGCTCATTCTTAATATTTCTAGCGGTCTTTTTAATCTCATGTAACAGGCAGAAAAATATTGACTGTACTTATGTCCTCTCATACCTCACTTTTACTCATTAGAACACTGCATTACTCCAGGATTCGCCTTTTTCTTTTGAGGTCCAATTTTGCTTTTTGTAAATAAAAGCGAATATACCAAAGTCACACGCTTAATACGACATTGGTGCTATTTCATGGAAAGGTCTATTTTGTATTCTGATAGGACTTTTCTCATTAGAAATACAGCAGAGGCACAATATATCATTTCTCTAAATGACTTGAGAATGGGGAAAGACAGACAGGGAAAACAGGTATTTCATTAGATTCATCTGGTAAAGGCCTTGAACTTTAAAAGTAAATACATTCATTATTTCCAGCCCTCTTTTAAAAAATCACAGCTACATTTCTATTTTTAAATGCACTTATTTTTTTCATTTATGTTCTTGTACATCAGTCTTTGTTCTATTATTTTCCAAATAAATGTTTTCTTCTCTTTTTTAAATTCCACCTCAGACTTGTTTTTCAATATGAAGTTATTTTTGACACTGAATTTTCATTCTTATAAAGAAGGAATTGTATTTAACATACAGTATTATTAAAGCATTCTTAGAACTATTATCATAAATCAGCTTTGTATATTTTGAAGGGATTTGAAGTTTAGTGAAGTTTAGCAGAAAAACTGCTGACAGGAAAGAAGATTCAACTTTTAAGATTAGTTTCATTCTGTAATAAACCATTTATACAGTCCTTAACTTGTTCAGTTTTTGAATTGTATTTCAGTTGCAACTTGTAAATAACCCCCAAAAGATGTTACAAATTGTCCCTTATGAATTTTTCAAATTATGGTATAATAAGTTTTGAATAAGATACAGTTACAAAGTATATTTTCAGAAGCTTGGGAGAATCACATTTTTATGATATCAGAGAAAGGGACAGAAGATTCATATAAAAGAAACCATAACTACATGAAGAATAAAGGTTATAGATATCAGTTCGTTAAAAATGGCATTTGGAGTAAAAATGACTTTAATGCTCGTTCAAATGCTCACAAAGGTATTCACCATCACTTTGGAAGGGCACAAGTACCAAGTTCAGAACAGATAATGCTGTTCACATTAACCTCCTGGAGAAATCTTTCATATGAGTTTAGCTATCCTATTTTCAAAGACAGTCCTAGATAAAGTATGCTGGATATTGATCTTCTGATAAATAGTTTTTAGCTGTAAACAGAATACTAGACTTATTGTGAAGGTTCCTACAGTGGGTCACTCCTCCGATTTGCTAAACCAGCAAGGTCAAATTTCTTCATCCCATTGCAAAGGGATGGATAATAAGTGACTCATTAGAATTGTTTGGCACTTGAAACATCCTTTTTTGAACTTAAAACTGCTGCTTCAGGTTTAAAACAGATGGTTCTGACCTTACAGAAGTCCCAGTGACTGTTCTGGAAACATTCCAGTCTCAAAAAGCACCTTGTTTCAAGCTGAAACACCTTGGGACCGGTTGGAACAGTCCTGGAGCATTTCTGGTGAGCTCAGAGTAATCTATTTTGAGATCAAAATAGGTCACATTGAGATCACAATATTTTGTACACCATTAAGAATATGCATGACTTCCAATAATAAAAACAGAAATAGGAAGAAAGGAAAAACAATACTTCCACCAAAGAGAACACTTAAGGGAGGGAAGTACTCAGCGTTGTAAAAAAGGAATATTTATCCTAATATTCCCTTTTCCTACAGAGGAAGAGAACATCCTACCAGATAGACTCATATAGCTAGGAGCCATAATGAAAACCCAAGATTAGTAGTAATAGATTGCCCACTGAAAGACTGGCCTGCCAAAGAAAAATTCAGCAGCAGTCAAAATATTCAATTTGTAATGCTTTTATTGTTGGGCAAAAGAAGAAATAGACGATCAAGTGCCCATCCCAAAATATCCCCAAGAAGAGTCTTACTGGCTAAAGTGATAAAACCTGCTGCTCTCCCTGTGCAACAGACTATGACTTCTTGCAAAAACATTTAGGGACTTCTTTTTCTTTGTTATAGTCTTATTTTTTTTAAATCTATTTTTCTCTCCCTGTTATACTTTTCTCTGCAATATTTCTCTTTTTATTGTTTTAGTTTTTGTAACTGTATGAGTTTTTATCTGTTTTTTAAACAAAATTAAAGGACCTTGCGACTCATAAATCAAAGAGATGCAACCTCGATGTATCAGGGAGCAGCTGCCATTAAGCACTTTTTCATTCCAAGATTTGTTCAACAAAGAAAGAAAGTAGGATTCTTGTTTACTACAGTTCAATTGGTGGGACAAAATGTGTGGGTCAGATGCTCTGAGAGGAGACAAACTTTAGTCCTGCTCTATCTGCAAAAAACTCCCCATGTCTATTTATATATTTGCATTGCAATAATACTGTCCAGGATTATGGTCTAAATAGCAGTGAATCTTCACTCATGAAGCCTCATGCATATCTGTCCCAAAGGTCCTTTTCAAAAGGCAATTGCATGCCTATTTAATATTCAATAAAAAAATGGATTGGACTTTTAAATCTCATATCTTAAGAATCTCTTTACTTAGGATTTGGAGAAAATATTATAAAAGTGATTTCAAAGTACCATTATGGGCTATACCTTGGCATGCGATAGAAGCAATAAAAAGAGGGGTTAAAATGGATATGGTGTCCTACAGACAGTTACTTAAATGGGATGGACAAAACTGGCAATTAAAATCACGGGAAGAGTTAGCACAAGAAAACTTTATTTATTCTTGGTTCCAATATAGGCAATTACTAGACAGATGGAAGATGGATTGTAAGGTGGGTTTTCTTAGAGAAGATGAAAATCTTATTAAGCAAGTGAAGGATTCAAGACAAACCCACATTAAGAGAATTTATGCGGTTTTAGTTGAATTGGATTCAGAAACGGAACTAATTAAAGATTGTATGATAAGATGGGCGCAGAATTTTGGTGAGCCAGTTCCATTGGACACCTGGGAAAAAATTTGGGTGAGAAATGTCAAATTTACACAAGCACAGAATTTAAGGGAGAATTTTTATAAAATGTTTTATAGATGGCACCTTGATCCACAAAAAATGTCTTATATGTACCCTGACGTGCAACCCAAATGTTGGAGATGTGGTTATAAGGAGGCTTCCTATTATCATATTTGGTGGTCATGCAGAGAGATAAAAGCATTTTGGATCAAAGTATGGTGGAATATCCAGAGAATTTTTAGAAGGAGGGTAAAATTTACTCCGCAATTATTTTTGTTAGGTATTGTTACAGATTGTGATACAAAGGAGGTTGTATTGATGTTAAATTTGATCACAGCCGCTAGGCTGTTAGTAGGACAATATTGGAAGAAGGAATCTTTGCCTACATTGCAGGAATGGTTTCTTAAAGTAGCTTATCTGGCGGAAATGGCAAAGATTTCGGCTTTCTTAAAGCAACAAACGCAAGAGAAGTTTCTTGCTGTTTGGGATAAATGGATAAAATTTATACAATTTAGATTGGGTATACAAAAATATTATATAGTTTTTTCATAAGTTTTATTTTTATATATATTATAGATAATCTTTTTATATATATAAATATAAAGTTCTTAATTTAATTTTTATTTTTACTTTTTAAGCCTATATTCTGCTCTGGGAAGCTCAGGGGGGGGGAAGGGAGGGGGGGGTTTTGGGAGGGGTGGGGGGGTTTTTTTTATATATGTATTGTTTAGTTTTATTTTTTTGTATATGTTGTCTCTTGTTTTGTATTCTTTTTTCTTTTTTGTAAAATTTATAAAACTTTTAATAAAAAAAAAAAAAAGGCAATTGGACTTTCTTGGTTTTTTTTCCTTGAGGAAGACCTTTTAATTCTCATCCAAGAAGCTTCTTCAGTATTGGCTGAATGGTGAGGGAACAGAAGGATTTATATTCCTTAGCAATTGTCTAAATATAAATCTTTCCATTCCCCACCATTCAGCAAAACTGAAGAAGCTTCTTGGATGAGACATGTAATATGTTCAAGGAAACAAAAAAACACTCAAGAAAGTCCAGTTGCCTTTTGAAAAGCACCTTTGGAACAACCATGATCTGGATGATTGAGGATCTCCATAGACACTCCATGCATATATTGTAGCTATATTCACTATGGGATGGATGATTAAATATCCCTTGATATTTTTGGTTGGAGCCACAAGATTTTCATATCTTGTGGCTAGATATGAAAGTTTTTCTGCATCAGTTTTGGGCTATCAGGATTAGCTCTGCACTCTTCAAGTGGATAATACATATAACTCGTAAAATGAGAGAAAAGAAGATTGCCAATCACCTGGCAACTGGCATAACTTATGTCCTTTGTGTCTTTTGACTAGAACCATCTCACCTTGAAGTTATTGAGAAATGTCATGAAGATCCATTGTCAAAGGGAAAGACATTACAGCCACATATTCTGAAGTTCAGACTTATTCTTCTGGGTCCAGCTCTCCCATTTAACCAGAACACTATCTAATTAAATGCTTTGTGAGCTTTGATGAGAAATAGGTCAGGTGTGTTTCAGTTGAGATTAGCAATCTGATGGTTTGGTTTTTTTAAAGAATGTAATAATATGCGCATGCCTAACCATGTGTTGTGTTAACAGGAGACTGTTGAAATATGCCAGTGATGGAAAAGCTGCATGATTTTCCCCTTGTGGATTGTTGGAGAGAGCCACCAGCATTACACACTTTTAAGAGCAAGCATTAAATGAGATTACTCAGGGACCCATGTGCATAAGACTCTCAAAAATCTTAGGGTCAGGATGCCCAAACATCTCAAACACATGACTTGTCAGTGATTAGCTGACTGTCTCTTGGATAGCTGGCTTCCTGGACTGGAGGAGAGAAACCTTTCCCTATACCAGCTTTTGCAAATGTAAGAAGGGGCTCTTTTCCTTATTCCCCGAAAAACAAATTGCTTCAGAGGCAGAATGTTCACCTCATATTCCTCTGCCTCCAGATTGCACATAGATATGGGACTCCACAATTAAGAGATATACCCTAAAATCACTGCAACTTTGTAGGAAAATTGGTTCCCAGGATATAAATATAATACTTACAATAGCAGATACAAATTACCTCTACCAACTCCTGAAAAGCACATAAGAACTATCAGAGACTTCTCATCTTATTTTGCAATACAGAGGTCTCTCATCTGAAAACAGACTGCTTGCCAGAATTCTTGTTACTACTGTATAAGCCTCTTATTAATACATCTTATTAATCAAAGCTCTGAGAGGCTTGCGTTTGGGATTAACTGTTCCAGTCTGCTACTAGCAGCCTTTGACAGCTTGGTGAATACTCTAAGTTCCAGAGAAAACTAAGTAGAACTGTTCATTAGCATGGCTCCCCTGGTATTCAATATATAGTGGGGTTTTTTGTAAGACAGTGGATGGGTATGTGAAGGGTGGTCTCCCAAAATCCAGGGGCAGCAGTACATCTCTTCCATGGAATTTCCATCCTAAATCTGTGGTATTTTATTCACTCTTTTAAAGTCTCACATTGACCTCCCGTCTTCATTCTTATCTGGGATAATGAACAGTATGGAATAGCGGCTCGAGTGTGGAGTACCTTTTTTACAAGACATCACCTGACCACAACTTGTGACTTTATTGCTGGCTTCTCCACTGACAATCCTTGTTGAAAGCCAGCTGTAAAATATGCAAATGGGTAACCACAGAATGCTGCAATGGTCATAAATGACTGCCAGTTGCAAAGTGCCCCATCTTGACATGACTGCGGGGATGCTGTAACAGTCGTAAGTGCAAAGACCAGTTGTAAGATTACTTTTGCAGCACTGCCATAACTCTGAACAATTGCTAAACAGGGCAGTCATTGTGAGAACTACCTGTAATAGCTACATATCAGTGGATATAAACACCAAAATGAAATTAACATGTGCTTCATTGTTTATAGAAGGCCTTTGATTATGTCATCCATGTCAAATTAATGTGCTTAGAAAAATGGAAAATGTAGGACATCTCACTATCTTCATGTAAAAGCTACACAGCTCAGGAAGCCATTGTGTAGATATGGCAAAACAGACTGTCTCCAATTTGGCAAAGTACTGTAGAAAGACAAATCCATTTTCCCCTAGTTTGCTGTATCTTTTTAAGGAGCAGTGTGGTGGCTTAGAAGTAGAGCTCTCGCCTTACAATCGGGAAGCTGTGAGTTCAATCCTAGGTAGCCGCAAATATTTCTCTCTCTGGGCGCAAAGAGAAAATATCTGCTGTGAACTCCGCATAGGCATCAGGAAGGGTATCCAGCCAGTAAATGCTCAGCTCCATTCAGTTGCCCTGATTTTACTCCAATGCAAGGGATTATAGGTTCGTTAAAAAGAAAAAAAAAAGTGGTATCTTTTAAAAATTAAGTTCCCTCTGTATTACAATAAAACATTTAATTCATAAAACAATATTATAAACTCTCTTCTTATCCAACAAATCAGAAACAGCCCATCCGATGCCAACAAACAAAATGTGTCTGGAAGTACAATTGCCAATTGCAGTGTTTACAAAAAAGCATGCATGCTCACTTTGAAGAGTGAAAATAAACTTGATTTTAAAATGTCCCGTCCCTTGGGGATATGGACAGTTCACAGGAGAAGCTAACTAGCCATCCTGTGAGCAGCACAAGGGAATGGGGAGACACAACTCACTTGGGAAGTATCCTGATTGAAGATGACAGTGTTGAGGTCTCCACAGTTGTAATGCTTGATAAGGTCCTCTGTAGTGTAAGGAATCTGTAGGCTGCTTGCTCGGAGATTCTCCTGCTGCAAGAGAGTCTGATTCAAAGCAAAGATCACCTGGGAATGGGAAGAGGAAAACGGAGAGTTCCCAATCAGTCCTTAAGCTCATTCATTATATAATATATATTAAACTGAAATAATAAATATTTGATATTCATTTATGCCTGCGTGTGTACTCTAAACACATATTTTAAACATTCAACCACCCACAAAGAAAATTTGGGAAATACAGGTAGTCCTCAACCTATGAAAAAAATTTCTGATGCTGTGTGAAACATTTGTTAAGTGAATTTTTGTCCGATTTTTGCAACTTTTCTTGTCACAGACTTTAAGTGAACCATTGCAGTTATTAAGTGAATCTGGCTTCCCCCATAGACTTTGCTTCTCAGAAGGTCGCAAAAGGTGTTCACATGACCCAGGGACACTGCAACTGTCTTAAATAATGAATCAGTTGCCAAGCGTCTGAATCCAGGTCACATGACCACGGGGAAGTTGCAACCGTCTTAAATAATGAATCAGTTGCCAAGCGTCTGAATCCAGGTCACGTGACCACGGGGAAGTTGCAACGGTCGTAAGTGTTTAAAAAAACCCGTCATATGTCACTTTTTTCAGTGCTATTGTAACACTGAACAGACACTAAATGAACTGTTGTAAGTCGAGGACTACCTCTGTATTCAATTAATAAATAAGGTGCTTGGTTCAAATAGATGCTGGCAGGTACTCCATGCACTTCCATGTCCTCTTTCACATCTTTTACTGTTCAAATTTGGATCGTTCTGCAGTTCTATTAAAATTATTTAATGCCCTGAAGATACCAGGTTTCACTCAACTTCTTCGCTTAAGGAAAATGTAACCAATCTACTGTATTAAATTGAACGGATCACTGGATTGGAGGAGAAAGGGTGCTTAATCCTTCCTTTGGGTCCATTTCTTCTCTGCCTGTAATTTTTTTTTTTTTTGAAACTTTGAACAACATCAACAACAAAATTCAAGGTAAAAAGGTTTCAGCTACATTTCCCTCCTATTCGTTTCAGATGTCTTCTTTGCACTTAAGAAAATATTTCAAAAAATAAATGAGGTGAATTTTGCTTGTTGTTTGAGCACATTTTTAATTAGCTCACTGTTTAAATTTGGAAGAGTAGTCATTTGGCAGGAGCTTCACAAGAAGCTAAAATAGAACCATGCTGTGGCTTCCATAACGGAGGTTATTTAATGGATGTTGGGTAACTTTCTACAGGAGAAGTGCAGATCTTGAAATGCCAAAGAAAGCTTATAACCAACCAACTGCTAATAAGCTTCCTTGTACATTTAGACTTACAAGACTACGGTACTGTTACTTAACACAAGAAACATGTTTGCACGCTACAGCATTTCTGGCTCACAATGGACAAGCAATTTCACTGCCCCATTCAGCAAGCAGGAAATCCACTTCAGAAGCCAAATCAATGAAGTTTATGGAGCAATACACTTCACCAGAGTCCCTCGATTCCCAAAAAAATGCAGAACCATCTCAGTGCTTCCAATTAATGATCCTTTCCTTTGAAGAACTACAGGGAGTCCTCAAGTTACGAATGTTTGCTTAGTGAATGTTCAAAGTTACGACATCCCTGCCAAAAAGTAGTTATAGTTACGTATGTTGCAACATTACAGCAGTCGTTCGCACTTACGAATGACCACAGAGATGCTGCAACATGCTACTTTGGTGCCAAGCCTGAGAGTCCTGAACTGTCCATGCTCGCCTCCTGCACAGTCTTGGGTGCCGGAGCCCTTGTCCAGCCAGGCAGAGAAGCGCCAGCTCAGCCTCTCCCCTTTCCTGCCGAGCCTCAGCCTCTCGCAAGCGGGCACAGCCCTGCTCTGCTACTTGCTGGAGTGCCAAACCTGCCCAGATTTCACAAATTCCACTGCCGTGAAGCTGGAGAGCTTGGCACATCACCACCCTGCTCCCCTCGCTTCCCAAAAGCGTTCCTTTGCTAAATTGCAAGTGGGGCTCCTAAGCAAACCTGCTTTCCAGCTCTGTCACGTTTCTCTGCCATGGCGCACAGGGAAACAAAAGAAGTTTGTGGGACTAAAAAAAAGTTCAATCAGACCTTCCAACTTTGCGAGATCTTATATTTTGTTTTGCAAGAAGGGCAGGCTCCATTACATTCGTAACTTGAGGACTACCTGTACTAGAAGGACTGGGTTCTGTGCACACAATGGAAAACCAGCAAAATGCATCAAAAGAGCCATTTTCATGAGTCTTGTCATAAGGCAGCCTTGAAGGTCACTTCAGTCAAAGTAGAGTATCCTTTAAGACTTTGCTGTATGAGTGTGTGTGTGTGTGTGTGTGTGTGTGCGCGCGCGCGCGCATTTGTATGTACAGACAGTCTTTGACTTACAACGATTTGTTTAGTGATTATTTGAAGTTACAATGGCACGGAAAAAGTGACCGATGACCGATCCTCACACAACCTTTGCAGTCACGTGATCAAAATTCGGGCACTTCCCAATTGGCATGTGCCAAATTTACAATGGTTGCAGCGTCCTGGGATCGCATGGTTACCATTTGTAAACCCAGCCAACATCCAATCAGAAAAGTCAATGGAGGAGAGTGGATTTGCTTGACAGCTGTGTGATTTACCGTAAATGCCGGCGTATAAGGCGACTTCCGCGAGCGCTGAAATCAGCGCCAAAGACGGGGGTCATCTTATACGCCGAGTCGTCTTATATGCCGGAAATACTGGTAGTTTCCGGCGTATAAGACAACGTTCTAGGAATGCGGCCTGGCTATAAAGACGGGAGTCGTCTTATACGCCGGGTCGCCTTGTATGCCGGCATTTACGGTACTTAACTGCAGAGATTCGCTTAACAATTGGGGCAAAAACAACAGTAATGAAATCAGGTGCGACTCAAGTTAACAACGGCCTCGCTTAGCAATGGAAATTCCGATCCCAATTGCGGTTGTAAATCGAGGACTATCTGTATCTAATGTTAAATATGTAATAACTATGATCTGAGATTCCTGAATTTTCTTTCTTTAAAAAAAAGGAAATAAAAGGAAAATAAGTTAGAATTCCTAGATCAAACGTCATTTTTTTTAAAGTAAAGCCCCTCCTAATCCTTCTGAGCAGTCATGTACTTATTCTACCTGCCTAAATCAGTTTTCATACAAACAAAACAAAACCCACCATTTTGCAGTAATAGTAGAATTCCCTGCAGTTCAAACCATGAGCAAAAATAACCCAAATATAATTTCCTCATGGTCTTATGAGGGCATAAACTTAATTAAATACGATTGACCTAGCGTATAAATAAAGTTGCAATTAAGAAACCAGTATTCTTTCACGTTCTGTAAACGGTGGAAACTTTATGGCCTCACTCACAAGCTAATAGCTGTTATAAATGGAATCCTCTTAAGTCCAACCTCACAGCTCTCCAATAACAATTTTTTCTAGCAAATGTTATCGCATTGAGAGATTGCAATACCAGGTGCAGCTTCAAACAGGGCGCCCTTTGTGAAAAGTTTATCTTCAGTACATAATCAAGTGACCTGCAGTCTGAGGCTTTTATAACAAGGAAAAAAAAATTCCAGAGCTGGTGAATTTGAAGGCGCTCTCTTCACATGGAAGTGCTTTTGTTCAGTGGGAAAAGTGTGGGGGAGGAAAGTGTGGAGAAAATGCAAGCTTATCTCAAAGTGGGCACCCAAAATAAATGGCATGTGGCAAGTACTTGTCCCTAGTTCTCTTTTTCAGTATTTCCTTTCCAGATATCCTGTAAGCTAGCAGTTCCGTAATGTCCTGAATATCCAAAGCATTTCGTGGGTATTATCTCAGCCATGGTTTACATAAACCTTGCAAAAAGTAACTTGGCATTATCCACCTATTGCAGGTTAGGGCTGCAGTCTAGTGTTTTAGCTCAGGTGGTCCAGAGATCTAAATTGGACGATGAAGGTTCACAGCTTAGTCAACAAAGCATTCAAGTTCTAAGACAGAGATGTTTCTTAAAGATCTGTCTATGGAGATTCTTAGTCATCCAGGTCCTGGTTGCCCCCAAAGTGCTTTTTCAAAAGGCAACTAGACTTAGTTTTTTTCCTTGAAGATGTTTCGCTTCTCATCCAAGAAGCTTCTTCAGCTCTGACCAGACGGTGGAGGATGGAAGGAGTTATATTCCTTGCAGTTTCTTACGTATTTCTTAAATATGTTCTGCAGTAATTTAAGGAATGCTTTGCAAAGTTTGGCTCTGATTTAAGGTGAATGTGATACATCCTTTAGAGCTCTCCAAATTCTTCAGCTCATTGACCCCTTCATAATGTTTCAGACTGTTCATTGGCCTCCAAATGCTTACTGTATTAAAATTATTTTAATAGGACTACTACTACTAAGAATAACAGCATTGTTCCAATATCTCAGGGGCTGCCACAAAGAAGAGGGAGTCAAGTCATTCTCCAAAGCACCTGAAGGCAAGACAAGAAGCAACGGATGGAAACTAATCAAGGAGAGAAGCAGCCTAGAAGTAAGGAGAAACTTCCTGACAGAACAATTAACCAGTGGAACAACCTGCCTCCAGAAGCGGTGAATGCTCCAACACTGGAAGTTTCCAAGAGACTGGACAGCTATTTGTCCGAAATGGTGTAGGGCACAGGTCGGCAACCCGCGGCTCCGGAGCCGCATGCGGTTCTTTGAGCCTTCCCCTGTGGCTCCCAGCCTCCTCTGCCTTTGCAGAGAGAGACAGAGAAAGAGAGAGGCATTGTGTGTAAAAGAGAGTCCACTCACAGTGTCCTCTGAGGAGCTGAAAAGCTTACTGGGCGGAGCTCCTCCCTTTGCTGCGTCTCTGCAGGAAGCAGGAAGCAGGAAGGGCAGGAGAGAACTAGCTAGCCCAGCTAGGCTGACTCAGGGATTCTGGGAGTTGAAGTCCATGAGTCATAAAAGAGACGAGGTTTTCTACCCCTGAGCTTGTTGGACAACAGCTTGAAGCTTGCCAGGTGAGCAGCAGATAGGAGAGGGGGGAGAAAGAGAGAGAAAGAGAGAGGGAGGGAGAGAGAGAGAGAGGGAGGGAGAGAGAGAGAGAGAGTGTGTGTG